CGCTCCTGGCCTTCATTTTCATCCACGCTCATACTCTCCATGCTGCCTTCATTAATTCCAGGTTGCATCGCGTTCCCAGATCGCCAGCGGGTTGGCGTTGGGGTGACTGGCATATCTTGTGTTTCCGCGAATTGGGAGGCCACGTTGCCCACTCCGGGGGGTGACGCGTGTGATATACCACCACCACGGGGTCTCAGAGCCTCCATGGTGGTTTATAGGTGCCAGAAGGCCCCTATCGGTCGATTGACGCGTGAAAAAGACGTGTTTCTCTCAATTGAAATTTCCAGGCAATTTTGATTGCGCTCAAAAACATTTGACCATCTGATGAAAAGGCCACAGAACTATCTGATAAGGAGTGGTTAATGGTCTGCTGCAGCTTTCCTGTGATAGGATCCCAGAGCCTGACAGTCCTATCCTCAGCTATAGAGGCCAGCAGCTGACCATTAGGTGAGAAAGCCAGAGACCAAATTGGGCCATTCTGGCCTGTAAGGGTATGCTGCAGTTCACCTGTAGTAGAATCCCAGAGCTTTATTGTGTTATAAGAGCCAGATGCCAGCAGCTAACTGTTGGGCGAGAAGGCCACAGACTCAATCCAATCAGAATTATCCATAAGGGTCTGCTGCAGTTCACCTGTGGTGGGATTCCAGAGCTTGATCGTTTTATCATTAGCACCAGATGCCAGCAATTGACTGTTTGGTGAGATGACCACAGACTGAACACTAGCGGAATGGCCCTCAAGTGTCTGTGGCAGCTCACCTGTCACTGTGGTGGGATCCTAGAGCTTGATAGTCCTATCACCAGAGCCAGAAGCCAGTAGCCGACCATTAGGTGAAGAGGCCACAGAACGAACTAAATGGGAAAGGCCCTTAAGAGTCAGCTGCAGCTTGCCTGTTGCAAGATCCCAGAGCTTGACCATGCCGAAAGAGCCAGATGCCAGCAATTGGCTGTCTGGCGAGAATGCCACACTCTCAACTCGATAGGAATGACCTTCAAGTATATGCTGCAACTTGCCTGTGGTAAGATCCCACAGTTTAATGCTGCTATAATTGCCGGTTGCCAGCAGCTGACTGCTGGGCGAGAAGGCCATAGACCGAACTGAGCGGTGCTCAAGGGTCCGCTGTAGATCACCTGTCATGGAATCCCAGAGCTTGATCGTATCACCATACAAATAAAAAGATGCCAGCAGTTGACTTTTTGGTGAGAACGCCACAAATGCACTCCTGTCATAATGGCCCCCAAGGATCTGCTGCAGCTTGCCTGTGGTAATATCCCAGAGCATGATTTTCCCATCAAAGCGGTATGCTAGCAGTTGACTGTTTGGCGAGAAGACCACTGAATAGCCTTTAAAGGTCTGCCGCAGCTCACCTGTCTTGGGATCCCAGAGCTTGATTGTTTTATTATAACAGAGAGATTCCAGAAGTTGGTTGTTTGGTGAAAAGGCCACAGATGTAATTCTGCCAGAATGGCCCTCGAGGGTCTGTAGCTCTGCGCCCCAGGACTCCTCAACGTTCAGCAAACGGTATATCCAGCTAGGAATATCTTTACAAAGCATCCTTCCAATAGTTGGATTCTTTGGAGAAAACGTAAGCCCTGAGCAATGAATCTGAAGCGGCGCAGTATCAATTATCCGTTGATTTACAAAGACAAATCGCCTGGCGTCGTTGAGAAATTCTGATATTCTCGAATTTTTACCATCCTTCGAATTGTTAGCATCTTGTATGATCAGATAGCCTTTTACAGAGACTTACTTATATTACCGATTGCAATCTTTCGATTGATCCCAAAACCTCAGACATCATATCCAAAACACTCATAGCTTCCACCCAATGGGAGAGCGAGAATCAAGATGTCCTTCAGCGCAGAGTCTAGATTACCACAACCGTTCCTACAACTTTGAAACGGTGCCTGAGACAGAATTTAGGAAGCTTAGAACAACGATAGAAATAGGGACTGAGGGAAAAGTGGGTGAACCAATCAATAAATGATTGTATGTATTTCCGTGTCTTTTTGCATTTCGCTAAATTTAACCTGGGTCTTGGAATGAAGTCCTGTATTTTGCATTGCGGCTCTGTTTGGGATGTTTTATAGATGTTCATTACAAAGGATTATCATCATGGGTGCGTCAACTGCTTGCAAACTCTCTGGTTTGGGTACAACGCATGCCTGAAGATGCGAAAGCACCGCATTATATCACCAAATACCATGACCCATCCAGAAAGCCAAGGCCTTACTGGCAGTGGGTAGGTTATCCTGTTCATGCTCGTTCACAAGCTGGGTCCTATTGCAAAGGAGGATCTGCCTATTTTTTTTGGCTGCTTTTCGACGAAACTACAGACATGCAGGCCAGACACTGCGGCGTTGCCTGCTGGTCAGCGGTCGGTACGGAGTGTCGGTTTGACGGAGGACCACCCTCAAGTCTTCCCGATTCAGATGCCCTAGCGCTTCGGTGGCCTGGTCCACTTCTGTGAATGCATCTTCTTCCGAGTATCACAGCTTCACTGGTGGGTCGTCGACGTCCGTTCCAGGGAATCTGCATAAACATGATCCGCCGGCATCCTCGCCAGTTGGACTCGCTCTTGCGATATTTTGCTCACGTGGCACCGCAGGATCAATAGATCCTCCTCCGCATGGTAGGCGGTCCCCACCACCGAGTAGCGGTCTCGCAATAGCTTCGGCACGCTGGACAGGTTCATCCCAATCTGTGGAGCATGATAGACATTCTTCAGTACCTGGGGTCCGTTGGAATTCTCCCAGAGCGTGAGCTTCACCGTCCCAATCCCTTCGGCTTCTACTGGATCGGGATCTTTATGAAGTTGACGACTACTAGAAGTTAATAAAAAGATTATTCGTGTAATAGACTATTACTGGCATCGAAACATTAAAAATCCCTTAATCGGGAGGTCAACCTCGTAAAGCAAATCATCGTTACCTCTTCACCCTATCAAATAGCATATGCTACTCCCCCGTCATCTGACATGACCAACAGGCCACATCATAGCCCTAAATCTATAGATATTCGAGGCATCGGAGGACTAAAACTTGCCGTTGTCATCAGAAGCCAACTCTGGATCTGAGCCATTCCTGGTATTTTGTCAGATGATGAACATGCATTTGACGCCATTGATAGCAATGTCAGAACTTACTGTCTGCGTGAGCGATTCCAAGCTCCACTCAAGTCTCCAATAGGTAAGGAGAGAGGGAAGCCAACAGAGTCAAGCAGCTGCGCCGTCAACAGATAAAAGCCTAACATAGTAGCCACGAATAAAGCAGCGCCGGCGCCCTGGGAGTTCCTCTATTAAATTTTTGCATAGGACATTGGGGATGACTATAAACTCACCACTGTCAAACGGTTACCCATAACGGCATCTTCGAGGCCCAGTTTCCAGTACGCGGCGGCCAGGAGCGAGAACACCAAGATCAGGGACGCGAAGATCAGAACAAACACCAGATTGGTACGAGTTGCGCAGACGCTATAGATCAACATCAATAGCGCCATGAATAGGAAGAAGAATGCTATTGGAACCGGGTTAGAGCCTGTAAAATAGTACAAGGAAAGGACGCATACCGAAGGTGTTCACAAATCCGGGACTGTGAAGGCCTGCCAAGGTATCGGTTCCATCTGGGGAGTATGGAGCTGCAGAGTTAAACGCCGGGGTCATGCTAGCACCGAAAGCCAAGCAGAATGCGCCTAGACCAAGTCAATTCTCTATTCGAATTTGTTTAATTCCATCGAGGAAAACAACTTACCCAAGTGACCGAACACAACCGAAGAGAATGTATTCCCAAGGATAAACTCAAGAATACAGGAAAGGACCAGCAAGAGCCCACCGAATAAGACCAAAACCCCACTGCGACATGTAAGTCAATGGCCTTCTCAGTAATTCTTCGAAGTTGTATCTTACGTGAATGCAGCACCACCTCCACCGGCACCTCTCCATGACATCAAACAACACGCAAGAGGCGTGGCTGTAAGTACGAAAGCGCCAATTCCCCTAGTTACACAGTTAATATATAACGGCTTTGCTCGAGGGAGGGAGAGATAATAATTGCGTACAGTGGAGTAGGATTTCCTAGATTCTTTGCAAGAGTTGGCTGGCGGTGCATCATAGGGCTCAGGTAGAGCTTCTCGAACTGCTCGGCAGAGAGAGTCACCGTGGTAGGGACCTGGGTGAGCGCAGGCATGGCTCCGACTTCATTGTGCGAAGCTTTGGAATTGCCGCGCATGATTTCGTCATCCATCCTTCCTGACATTGTTTTGTATAGAGAGCGGTATCAAGAAAGAAATAACAAGTGCTCAAATCGGACGAACGGACAAATTTGATCGCAACTCATTCAATTAAGCGGCCCTGAACCCCGACTTTATAGCTACGCAGCGGGAGCACCCCAGGTTTGAACCCCACGGGGATCTACCAAGAAGCTACGAGAACTTAAATCCCCATCGGAAGCAATATCGGCACCTGCGAGATAATTACGAAGACATACACTCCATTCGCTGACATAGTTTAAATAGCCCACTTACGCCAAGTGGAATACTAGTATGATCTACAAATCCAATGCGTATCGGAAGCTACTTCGGCATGCTGTTGACGAAGATCTCCGCTTCCTGGGGGAAATACTGGGGTGACCAAAGCTTGGCTTTTAGTGAGCTTCTGATATTGGGAATCGTGCATAAACCATAAATTACTCATTGTCCACTTTTCAGGGCTGCCGATCTTGTGGTGTCTATGTCTATGGGCCCGGCCAAGTCTATGATGTGCCGAGGAAGTTGCCGAAGTTCTTCTGCCTTTACTCGGATCGTCTGGTTGTGCCAATGGATGAGCCACAAATTGAGTCTGAGTAACGGTAATACCCCGCATTACCCCATAATAGGAGTTTATTCGCATATATTTCAAGTCTGGGGGATTTAATGTTTTATTGAAATACGCGCCACACGCATCACGTGCATTTCCTGATACCCTAGCACCCCCAGGTCTTCCTCGATAATTATTTCAGCATGTGATTGTGTGTCTGCCATATTTCCCAGGCCTCTAGTTTCGGACCATCTTTGGATTTCTATGCCAGGCGAAATTTTCCCCATCTCGGAAGGTCCACGCCACCACGCCACCGAAACACTGATGGATCCCCAAACCCTGCAGGCCTATCTGTATGATCTTGGCTCTCGATTTAACAGATTCCGGGATGTGTATAGAAATTTGACAGGTTCCTGATCGATATATGTGCCCACTTCGAATGCTACCGATGTAACCATTTTCTGTCTTTACCATGCTTGTTCGAGCGTATTAACTTCCCTGAAATCAACAATAGCGATCAAGTCATTTTAATTCAGACATAGGGCAGAGATAAAGTACTGTGAAACTGACCTCGCTTGCATGTCCCGTGGCGCCAGGTCTTTGCTTTAATTCATTAAATTAGTAGATAGATAGCTATCTTCTATGAAGTTACGCATACCAAGACCAACGGAGGGATTTGCTTTTCTGCCGGAAACTCCTACCATAATTCCATAAGCCAAGTCCCTGTCTGTCATGGGCTCTATCAGAATAAACATCTGATTTTCTGGTTGGCACTTGAAGGCCTAGCAGCATCCATAGTCTGAACCGGTTAGGCTCGATCCCTACCCGTCAGAGCGCGCTACTATATATATCGGTACCCGAGCATGATGAGCATCCGCTCATCATAGTGGTCTTTTGGCCTAATGGTAGAATCTCTGAGCTTGGGCAGTGTTCTAACATATAATCTACTCATATCTTAAAATTGCACTTTACCTGGAAGACTTTCGACGGGTGTCGTTTGGTGTCCATTTGGCTCTCGTCTAATCTTCCACGAGGTTTTGGATTGATGACCCAAGCGTAGACATCTGCGTTGTCTTTTGTGTGAGCAATATGAGTTGCTCGGTAATCGACGACTTCTTCATATAACCGAGCCGTTCTATTGTGACATCCTGCTAACCACCTGACCATGTCTGGCTGGCTTTCGCTGAAGCCGATCCCAGCAATGACAGAGGAGAGGAGTTGGTTTCATGACACTTTCGAAAGTCCTGTTGTATCCCACTTCTATGGTATAGCAGCATAGTGAATGCTGTAGTCATTCATAACAGCATGTAGTCAATATGACTAGGGATTAAGAGAGAATATTGTCTCTTCTATGGATTACACAGAAAACTTCAAGACGGACCATTTCCTCTTCATCACGAGTCTACTCGCCCTGAGATCGAGTCGTGGAGGGCGTTCGTCACTGTCCAGTTTTTTGCGAACCACCCCTCGTGGGGAGGAAATGCTCGTGTTGGTTTGTCGAGCCGCTGTACCTGCTGTGGCCTCGGTTAGAATAACTTGCTCGATGTTGTTCCATCATAGGGGATTCGAACTTACACGATCTCATGTCGGTGCACTAGGGCGTCTCCATGGGATTAGGCACAGACATAAGTTCAATCGTCGATCAATTTGGCAGATCGGCTATTTCTTTTTTTCAGTCATTCAAAAGCGTGTGAACGAAGTAAAATAATGTTTTGGGTGGCGCGGATTCTGTGATGGCTGCCGCTTTCTGTACAATATAGTGAATGTGCTAGTTTGTTGCTGCATGTTCAAGGAATAGGTAGCAGTCAACGAGGCCCGCGGACTCCTCATAGTCTACATTAAACACTGGAAGCGAAAAGGATCACCAAAGTTTACGGTGCGCATTGGGCATACTAAGCAGCCCTCCCCATTTGCCTCCTGTTTGTTTGTAGTCTGAGGAACTCTCTTACTGTCTGGTAATTTAAGAACAGCTTTCAGTTAAAAGTATTGATTTAAGAGGCCACAGAGGCTTTTCACACTACTGTGAAACGAGGATTTGAGTCACATCTCCAACTCAAGCGTCGAGATCGATTGATTCTTTAGCTGCAGCTACCAAGATCCTCACTGCCTGTCTACACAATATTTGACTCGATCCAACCCTTTGCATCATAGACCCTGGATCCTACATTGGGCATTGGTGCAGCAGTGCAGCCATGTGCCCCATAGCTGACCACAATATATACAGTAACTCTCAGATCACCCACAATCGGTCCGCCAGTATCGCCATTGCAGGCCAAGGTCTCCGGAATAAGCACCTCATTCGGCTCAAAACACATCATAGTAGATGTGATTGGATTCACATCCTCCCCTAGATGAAGTTACAGCTGGACCGGTCCACACTCAGTAGATCCGCATTCTGCAACATTGTCGGCAATGTCTTCGCGGAAGAATCCAGTTTGCCCTATCCAATACCGTACTGTTGCCAGTCTAAAGCGGCATGAGCAACTTGCCCGTTTTGGCGGGGTTCCTGGTGCACGCAAAAAGGTAAAAGGAAACATTGTCGCTGATGCGTATCACCTGTAAATATCGTATAGAAACAACAGGACAAAATATGTCATAAATTTCGCGATTCGCTTGGGAGTACGCGTAGCGCCGGAACCCTGTTTCGGAGGTCTGTATCAGGAACTGCGCATTGGCGGGATCAAAAGACAGAAAGGCAGCACGCATGGCACTTTTGATTGTGGGAGAACATTTGGTAGGTATAATAAGTCGTTTCATGCAGTTCGCATAAGATTCGAGATACCAAAGGTCTTTGAAGAAGGTATGGAGAGATGGAATAATGCCCTCCTTCTTCATTTGCTTCCAGATTGATGATCTTTCCAATGTAGTGAAGTTTGAAAAGACTTTGCCACTGTGCACAAGACCCTTTACGGTAATTCTGTCCTTCGAAGAGATTCCAGGTGCTAGAAGCTGCAGAGTTTCCACCGTATTAACGTCAACTTTGAGCATCTTGGCACAATCATGTTTCACGAGCGATGACCAGTATTGTCGTAGCTCAGTCAGCCTGTGAAATATCTCCTGCCAACGGAATCAGCATCACTGCAGGTGGCAGTTCAGTGTTGGTAGAAAATTTTCTGTGCGGAGTGTGTCAGTAGAAAAAGTAGTGCTCTACCAACGGTGAGGTAAAATCTCGAGAGAGCTCGGCGTATGTAGAAAAATGCCAAGAAATTCTCTACATACGCTGAGCTAATTCTCTACATTCAATGAGCTGAGTCCCGTGTTGGCTTGACACCACTGCACTCATGTGGTTATAGACATCGAGTCTTTGACAACCCTCCTTGTTGAATATTTCACAGAGCCGTTCAACATTCTTCTGGTCCAAATGTTGGGAGATGGAAGGGTGAAGAGCAATTTGGCTAATATTGATTTTGGCAGTCCCTTGGTATATTCAGCTTCGTTCCATGGTAAGTTGAAGCTCATCTTCAGTGTACATAGAACCATCCATGGCAGGAACAGTGAAACTCAAGAGAATGAACAGCATTTGGAAGGGGGAGGGCTGTCTATTTAACATTACTCTTGGACTCACAAAATGGAAGTTTCATTCCCTACTGATTCAGCCTTCTGGCAGCAGCAAGATACTGAGACTTCAGCATCAAAGTGTGTCTTCCAATAGCGCATATGGTCTATTAACTATTTTTACTCTGTATTCGACAACCAATTCAAACATAGAAAGTACTAGAAACTTCCATCCGAAAATCCCAGCCTCTGCTACTAGACATAGTCACATAAATACAATGCGTCTGCACTACCGTGACACCTCTTTTTCTCTTTCACTACGTTCACAAGTCGATCACCTTCCCAAAAACAAAAGGATGCTGCCAGCAAGGCGGTGCGTTTGTTCCCATCCTGAAAGGCATGGTTTTTCATTATTTTCTCAAAGGTTCGCAGCAAGCTGAAACACATCGTCCTCCTTTGCATAGTGCTTCTTGTTCATCGGCGAGTGCACTGCAGACTCCAGCATGTCTGGCTGGGTTGGAACAGCATTGGGGGCGATAAATCTCACCACATCATCACTACCCATTGATCCACTAATAATGATACTAAATGTGGTCTATTGTGCATATGCAGCTGCCCCACTGAGAACTATAATAAGTTTGTCCATTGGGGAGAGATAACACATGATAGCCCGGGCACTATGTTCCTTGGTGATACATGTCCTACAGCAATGAGGCAACAAAAATGATCCCATTGTTTATGCTTGTTTGTAAAAACTATGGCCAGTAACCGATGGTGCCCAAGTCAACCAGGATTCGATGCTCTGGGCTTAGACATCGGAGAATGGTGCCACTTATGTCCCCATAGATGTAACATAACTGTTGGAACCACAGCAGCGCCAACAATGAGCGCGGAACAAATCCCCGCGCTACCTGAAAACCCTACATTTTCCAACATGTCCGGGAACCTTCATAATTGTTAGTATTAAGGCAATCAAATTCATTTGGCTCTCCAAAGGGAAAAGCAAGAGCCTACCAAAAAGGACCAATAAACCCCCAAATCTGGCGGACAAATGTAATTAGAACGCCAACACTCGCCGCCTCCGAGCTATAGCAATCAATCGCGTAGGTCACATACACAGTCGTGACCACTTGGTTCCCAGCAGCAGCAATAGCAACGCCAACTAACGGGGTTATATTCCAATGCGAGGATGCATTTTCAGTCTGCACGAGAAAGACAACCGTCCCGCATATTGTCAGCGCAAGACCGATATAGCTGATCCAGAGACGGCACTCCGGGGCGGGAGGCTGCTGCCGCCGGCGCTGGCGATACCACATCCAGCGATCTGACAGGTGGCCGCCAACTTGCTCGCCGATGACTGAGCCGACGATCTGGCTGATGAATTGCAGTCCGACCTGCTGAGTGTTGGACCCGAATTTCTCGGGCCAGATCTGGGGGATTTCGATGGAAGGTAGGATGCTACCAAAGAGGAAGACCATAGCGTACGCGCACGCGGGCAATATCACACACGGATGGGCAGCCAATATGAGCGGCTGGATAAACTCCCAGGGGTCTAGTGGAGTTGGACGGATGCGTTGGATTGTTATTGGCAGGTATTTCCGTTTACGTGCGTGGTTCCCGATAGCCGCGTGGTCGGTGCGAATATACAAGGTCTCAGGTCCTAGGAGGAGGTAGACAACTAATTGGACAGCATTGACCTAGACAGATGAGTGAGGCTCTTAAATAGTGGAGGAACCCTGACTGCAATCACTCACCATGACTAGCACCCAGTATATCCAGCGATATCCGATACGCATTGCAGCGAATCCAAAGATAAAAGGTGCCGTTGGCACACCCAGCGTAACCATCAACGTCCACACGCCCATACATCGTGCGCGATCCCGAAGGAAAAATGACTCTGCTACAACAGCGCTTCCAATCGCCGCTGCAGGGCTAATGAAAAAAGCGGTAATCGCACGACAGAGACCCATCGTGGCATAAGAATGACTGACGGCGCAGCCGACATTACCGACTAGACTACAGACCAGCGAGATAAGCAGTACCGGACGTCGCCCGTAACAATTGGCCAAGGGACACCAGAGGAGAGGAGCGCCTCCAATGATCGCGATAAAGAGGGACACCAGGTAGCTCACGCGGTGGACACTGACATGGAGATCTTCGGCGATGTTGACAAATGCGCACTGGATTGCTGCAGCGGTAAAGGTGGCCATCATGGCGTGAAAAGCCACGAGAGACAGATTGGTTATTTTCTATCGATGCGTCAGTTAGAGGTCTGCGCTTTGAGTACTTCGTAGATTTGATTATTTGCATGTTATACCTTCCACGATGGCCAGTTGTACGGATCGGCATCATTGAAATCCGGGATTGGATAAATATCCAAAGTGCCATGACGGTTGAGGAGATACTGGCGATGCTCTGGCGAAAGGGAACTTCCAATATCTTCGATAAATTCATCTGAGGATTTTTCCAGGCCCCGAGGCCGGTTTGGTATAGTATTCGAGGCAGCATTTTTCTCCAATTGCTCAAGTTCTGGTTTCATGTTGGATATTGAGTGTGATGTACTATGGATCATTCAGAAAATACTAGAGCAGAGCCTACTAACTAGTGCTTAAATAGGTTGCGTCCATGTTGGAAAGGAGCGGATGGGTCTCTAATCCATACAAGCCCAGCCTATCGGACAGCTTCATCCCGCCGGTTAGAGAAGTGCTACTAGTATCTAGACGCGGGGAAACTGATCTACATACCCGGATTTATGGCGGGTATGAGTTTCATTGCTGTTGAGGCGGCCAAATTCCAAGAACATGTTCAGTCTTCAGGCATGCGTCGTTCTGGTAGGAATGCCATACAAAGCTGCACAACTATTACTACTACTACTACGTGACACGCCGGGTTACTTGATTGAAAATGACATTTTAAGTTTATTGTCTATATATAGGAAATAATTCTTCATATTTATTTCAAATACTATCTCAAAGGCCTTGCATGCAAACCATCCGAAGACACCCTAGTTCTCAGCCCTCAAAGAAGCCCGAACGAACAGAGGATCTTTAAGATCACTGATTCCGACACTGACTAATTCAGGAATTTTGCCATGATATTTCCCCTTCTCCGAATTCGCCTGTTCCTGCCCATCTGCTAGCTCGAACTTGAATTCCGCAAGTAGCGTGCTCGTCAGTTTGTAGATATTGGCAGTAGCCACAGTCTTCCCGATACACTGACGCCCGCCCAGGCCAAAGTGCATCAGGTATCGAGCCTTGTATCCCGTGTCTGGCTGGTCCCATCGATACGGGTTAAAAATATCGTGATCTTCGCCCCATACGCGCGGATTGTGGTGAAAGGCATGATTGCAAACCGCGATCGACGTCTACAAAATGAATTTCGACAGTTAGTTTGATCTTCGTAGCAACAGGATGAGCAGGCCACTTACTCCCTGTGGTATGTGATGCCCAGCAATGAGCACTCCTTCAGGGGACACCACTCGCCTCGCTAGTGGCATCGTAAAAACCGGAGTAATGCGGAAGTTCTCGCGCACACATTTACGCAAAAACGGTAACAAGGCCTCTGCATTGACAGCAGAATATGCGAGCGTGTCTCTTTCCAACGGCGGAAGGTTGCTATCAATTTCATTCACGAGTTCGGCGAGATATTCGGGATGATGCAGAAGATGGTACAAAAGCAACGAAGTCGTTGCACTAGTTGTGTGTGTCCCCGCGATTCTAGTAAGTGTTAGCCTTTATAGGTCGGCATACAGACTTTGGAGCATACATAAAACCAAATGCTTCGGTTTCAAGATCTGCCTGCGTGAGGCTCTCACCAGTTTCGGGGTCTTTGGCCTTAATCAGGTTCGTTAGGATGTCTTTCCTTTCGGGACCATTTTCAATGCCCCCATGGCCGCGCAGACCGCTCAATCTTCGCTTGACCGATGCAGATGCAAGATCCGCACAAGTCTGTCGACCCTCGATCAACTTCCGAAGACCCTTATGTGGCACAAGAGGCAACCATTTTTTCAATGTTTTGGTCATCGCGGGCCATGCCCCAGTGGCCGCAGCGAGCAGGCTATGCTCGACAACTGGAGGGACTCGAGACTCGTCGCCGGTTTCTTGAACCTCAAAAGATTGGCTGAATGCGAGCTCCCCCAGTACGTCAATCACATAATAGTGCAGGGCCTTCTTGAGGTCGAAGACTTCTCCGTGCTGGCAATGCTTTCTGATTTTCTCTTTCAGAATGCTGATGTTCATATCAAGGTATTTTTCCATCTCTTTCACGTAGCTGATAGAAAAGCTATGCGACATATGACGCCTTCTAGTAGAATGCATCTATAAATATCCGTTAGCCCGTGGCTCAATTTCTCCATGGGCATCCTACTTACCGACTCATCGCGCATGCCAAATACATTCGGATGCACAGCACCGTATGCATCGTAAAACTCTGTCTTCGGCATAAATCGCGCTCCCTTTTGGTAGATGGCCTGAATGGCGGCTTCTTCCGTGATACTTAGCTTGTCGGGTCCATAGCGAACGATGGGGCCGTAACGTTCATGTAACTCGGTTAAATGATACGGCTGTCGGAGAGTCAAGAATTGGTAGGATTGCCATAAATCCGTCAACGATGCGAGGAAAGGCCCGGGATATTTCGCCAATTGATGTATATAGCGCCAGTAGATGACATATACGCTAAGGGCAACTGTAGTCACAAGTCCGATAAAGAGAAATGGCCTTGCAGCTATATACCCAAGCATGATAGCCATGATTTGCTTTCGATTCTTCGCGCTTGTAGAATGAGTAGGAAAAGTTGTTCGCTTTCGACATGACGATGTAATATAATAGTGGTACTGACTCGACTCTATATACTATAGTATCCTCAGCATTGTGGAGACTATGACGACGAATCGGACACATTCGTAACGAACACCTATATCTAGTACTCTGGGAAAAAGGATAGAATATCAAGATTGTACCTAGGTTAGTATGGGTAGTAGCACTACTACTTGGTATATTTCCCCTCGGATGAGATGAATCAGCAACTATCTACGGGAAGCAATGATCCGATTGGTGCCGAAAGCCCTGAAATTCTGGGATCCCCGCATTACTGACAATCCATGCTTTCACTGCCACTACTACACTACTACCTATTAGTTCTGACTCGCCTGGAGGCAAAGATGCAGCGAAACCGACGGGGAGCACGCCGGACAGAAGTGGCTTGCACTGAGTGTAGAGCTCGCAAGTTGAAGGTGAGCATGTTTTGGTTCTATAGGCCACTTTCAGATCCTGTAAAGAATTGTATTAGCCATTAACCCGCTCAGTGTGAAGGGTCGAGGCCCGTCTGCTCGCGGTGCCATTCTTTACAACTTGTGTGCACCTACCTAACGCCGCCTGCGGCTGACTTGCGCAGGACTCGATACCAGCGGTAAATGTCGTCTCCTTGCGTATATCAGGGTTGAGCAAAACGGGCTAATTTCGCACTCTAGGACACAGGATGATCTCATACAACGTGTCAGGCACCTGGAAAATCGACTTCATTTAATCTCAGAACCTGGTGCCTCGAGTTCTGATGGCACCCAGAATAACGAACAGTCATCTCTGCAGACGCCGACAACCTTGCTGCAAGATGCTTGTAATGATGAGCACCCGCCAGGGCCCGTGGAAATTGGCCAGACTGTTGATGATGATGGTGTAACAGTGGATATAATAGCGACGGACGTGTTTAATGAGACATATCAAAGCGGCAATATTGGATACTTCGGTATGATCCTCCGATGATACTACTACCAGGTTCGATGGCTGACAAGTATCAGGTCCGAGTTCTAACCACACCATCTTTTCTTTCCTTTCATCGAGCTTTTCCAGAATTTCCATGCTTTACGTGCCTGTCCAATCGACTTACGGCATCGATAACAACCAACTTGACAACAACTTGCGGACACAAGATCCAAGTTCAGTCGATGCATTTGAAAACCGATCACTACCAAAGTCTGTTAATGAAATACACTCTCTACCGACAAAGGCAGATGGGTTACGTCTCCTGAACCGGTTTTTCTCCACCATAGGTGTGCTTTTGCCCTACGTCAGCCGGGCTGATTTACTTGAGAAATACGAAAAAGGCAGGAACAGTAATCCACCGCGGTTTACTCGGGTGTTGCTGGTCTTGCTGAATGTTGTATGGGCTCACGCATTGGCTTCCCTGCACAACGGTCGAGCAGAAGTCTTCTATCACCGTGCTATGGCACTCTTGAACCCACAGACGCTGCAAGGATCAAGCTATGACCTAGGTAAAATCCACCGCGAGACTCACTTGAAGTGTAGCTTACATATCCTAGTTCGATCGCTTCTTCTAATTGTCTTGTTCCAGCAAAATCATCAACGTTCTGTATCAAGCTACACAACACATTATCTGTCCGTTAAGGCTGCTCTTCAGATTGGGCTTTGTGCTCCATGCGTGGATAGTCACACGTCTGACGAGCGAATAGCACGTAAGTTATTATGGGCGGGAATAGTGAGCAACGACAGGTACTCAAGATATGCCTCCCTGCATAGAGGTTAGTTCTAACGTGTTTCATAGCCTTTTAAGCTTGACGCAAGGACGACCGTCGATCGCTTTGGAAGCACGGTCAGATTCCGAATGGAATCTGGCCTTGAGAGCGGAAACGAATCTGGGTTGTAGGTACTTTAGCCATTTTGCGTAAGTTCTTCCCGTGTAGCCCCGGGTAACTCCGGGTTTGCTTCTGCTAATATCGAAAGGTCATTGAACATCATCCTCGTAAACGCTATCGGTGTGCTTTATGGCAGCAACGCTGGAGGACGGCGTAGCCATGATCCCCAAGAACTCATATGTGAAAGGCTCCGTCTCTTCTGTGAACTCGAACAATGGCGTGACGACGCCGCCTGCTTTGGAGGGATCGTATCACACTCTACGCTGCTAGCTGGGTCTTTTCCAGCCACACATGATCTCCTCGCAATCCAAGTAGTTATTTCCGTCTGCTACTATCGATTATGTATGGTCCTCAACTTTCCTCTCCTAGCGTCATATTTGGAATGCATCCTAGATGGCGAAAGGAAGGACTGGAAATCCGGTCTTCTAAGACAAAACATTTGTCAAGTCATACAAAATGATTGGACAGCTATTACGGAGGTTCGTGGGACTATCCAGAGTATCCACAAGTTCAGCAATGAGTTTATCAACACGTACGCTGCACGCTACATGTGCAATTACACTAGTAGGTAAATCTAAAAGCTGTTGAACCACGGGAGTACGTTAACCTAGGTGACACTGTGACGTTGTTTAGTATTCACGGCAACTCTACACCTCTTTGGAATTCTCCTAATATACAAGCAGGACCTCCATATTTCCCCCGGTATCTCAGTTCAACAAATCCGCCATGAACTTCAAGAGTGTCTTTCGGTCATGGGAATCTTCGAGCGGACCAGCTTGATGACTCGGAAGGCACGAAGTTGCATCTATCGGCTGTTATTCACCTTCGATAGTCTTGGTTGGTTTCCAGTATCAAATCAAATCTTTTCTTTTGCTTAACTTTGATGCCTAGGAGATAAGTCTATATCCATTCCAAGCGCGCCTACGGATCAAGAAACAGAGAGATTTATCCTGGAACATACAGGACAGTCTATTAACGAACTTTTGGGGCAGTGGAGTCAGGATGAGGTACTTGATTCAGATATGTCATTCTTCGAGATATACTCCAGTATTCCATTAGGCGAGTAGTTATCTTTCAGCCAACATTTGTGTGAAGGAGTGGATCCAGTACTTACATGACTCGAGCTCTGCTCTCCTTTCTTAACTTCACTCAAGCACATGTACCACCCTTGGACCTCCCCCCGTACCGGTCATGGGACCAGATGCTCTGGACCAGTTATAGCAGGCCCATCCTGTGCTAGGTACTAGGTTCCTGTCACGGGGTGAATTTGATATTGGTTAATCATTAACTAGTCATATTAAGCAACACGTAACTTGGAACTAGTGTCTAGCTCCTGGGAAATTGTTGGCTATGGATCGCTCATCACCAGCTGAACAGCCCCTCAATCAGTTTCCTGCTGCTGAGGGTTGTGACAGCCCCCTCGGTAGGGAAGATCATTATCGCTGACTAGAGTTTGTTCGTCATTAAGTTTGGGGTTGCGCACGGCAAGGGCAAGCGCCAAGATTGGCACGCAAAAACAGATACCGGTGATTGTGATAAGGCGTTGGATGTACTGGTAGGAGCGAACGATAGCAGCGCGTTCAGGGGTGCCCATAGGCCATTCGACGATCGCGGTAAATGGATCCTTGTACGCGGAAGTGGCCAGAGTGGAGTTAATACCGCCGAGTTCGTCATGGAGCGAGGATGGTAGTAGCTGGGTCCAGAACGCTCCCGAGATTGTGTTTCCAATGGCAGACCCGACATTGTACGAAGCCAGGAACGTGCCTGTCATGACGGCCAGGTGTTCGTGCTTGACGTGGGCTTGCATCGACGCCTGGGCTGGCCATGAAAATAGTGCGCCACCAAAACCTAGGAGCACCTGGCCTGCAACGACGCCAACCTTGCCGTTACCAGTAAAGGACCCGCGGAATCGAATCAGTAGGCCGAAAGCGACCATGTAAGTGGCAGCCCCGCAGATGATAAAAATCTTGAGCCGCCGGACCCGGAAGACGATCAAGCCGAAGATGGGCCCGACTAAAACCTGGACGAACGTAAAAAGAGAGGAGATACGGGTCGCGGCGGTGATACCAAAGTCGAAGCCGACGACGAGGATCGTATAAAGGTAATTGGCCTGCAGATGGTACCCAATATTCTGGAACAAGGCAATGCCCAGCGGAGCCCAGACGGCTCGATCTTTCATAAGATCCATGGGGATAAAAGGACAAGGGGCCCTGGATTCCCAGTAGATAAAGATAGGAATGCAAAAAGCGCTAAGAACGAGAGGAGTAATAATATGGGCGCTCTTCCATTGGGACTGGGTGCCCCCGGCGATAGTGAGAGGCGCAAGAAAAAGGGCCAAGATGGCGACAAGGAGGATGATGCCGATGATATCGAGCATCCAAAAGAGTTCGACTATAAAGCCTTTAGGGCCCAGAACCTGAAGGGGGGTGCTAGATCTCTCCAAGGAGCCCTGCTTTTTGACTCGCCGGGTGACGGCCCAGAGGCTAATGATGAGAGGAAGCACAGAAACGGGATAAATGATGCACCACATCCCAATGCCCCAATGCCAGTCGGTAACAGAAAGAACGGCATTGGCGACGTTGCCGCTAACCCACGTGGTAATAAGAGCCGGCGCGATAGGAGTGTAGCTGAAGAAAAGGCGCGAGCGAGTCGAAGTGATATCGGAAACGATGACCGAGTTAAGAGCCTTAATCATGCTCTGGCCGATCTTGAATATGACGCTACCACCGGCATAGGTGGATATGTTCTTCGCGACGGCCTCGACGATAGTACCAATCACGTAGAGGAAGGCGGAAAAAGCAACCAGCTCGACTCGACCGAAGATGTCGGCGATCTTGGCCGCGGTCGGCTGAGAAGCAGCGGCGACAACGGAGAGGATAACATTGATGGTCGATAGGAGGGAATGCTCGCCAAAGGAGGAAGTGGCATAGGGTTCGTATGTGCTTCGCAGCAGGTTGTCGAGGCCATAAGAAAAACCAACAACGAAGATGCTGGAGAAGATAGCGATTCGTTCAACAACCGTAAGGGAGGAGTACAAGGCCTTAATGCGAGCTGCACCCGGTGACTTGATGTCGCTGATAGAAGCAAGCACCGATTTCTTATCTTGACGGGATTCACGGAATGGCGGGGGGTCCGTATTGGCCTCTGCGCTGGAAGATTTGGAGGGTTCAAACATGATGAGGCAGCATACACCAGACCGAGCCAGGTGATTCTTAGCCCATTCTTTGTAGCTGGAGAAAAAAGGCTGATGTTTTATGCATTCCCCAGTCAACACCGCGAAGTTGAACCCGGCAGTGTGCGGTGGGGTTTTGACTGTCCGCGCTCAGGAACGAATCAAGCCATTCTCTTCCGTTCTTGCTCGGCAATGCTCCCACGGCCGGCCGATGCTTTTACGTATTTCGGAGTCGTTTCATCCTGGACATTATGTTCGCTGCCATGGGCTACAAGCCAAGCCCAACCAAACCCGTTGTACCAAAAAAAAAAAAAAAAAAAAAAAAACGTTACGAGGAGTTCGTGGCTTAACGTAATTTACGGCCCTTCATTGAGCACTAATTCGAACTCAACGAACTTGATGAGTAGAGGGAGGGGCAAATTTCAGGGTTTGTTAATGGCGTTGAGATTGAAATGCGGGTCTCCTTCCCAGGAGATAAGTAAAAGACTCGTTTCTTCGATGCGGGACCTGGTGTTGGAGACTGAGTTGGGGTCATGTTCTGCGGAAAAGTTACTGGCGTCTCCAGATGCCGCATTCGCAGCAAAAGAGACTACACTGAAGAGATCCATTCCTCTCCCAATGACGAGGAAACTTTGGAACCATGCTGTACCAATTGTTGTGGCCCTTTCCCAGCAGACCACCCCAACTGTCCCACCTGACCTACCATACAACAGGGAGTTATCCAGCGGCTCATTCGGCAGGACTGTTATATTGAAATGGATTGATGGGGCCTCCGCTTTCCAAAATGACTCCTCGGAAGAGACCTTGGTCACGACCGTCGTAGGATATCATATGAGCTCCAGCACTTTCAGCCCAGATTGTGACTTGTGACATTTGAAGCGTCTCCACCGAAGGCAGCGATGTTCTCCTGGAGCCAACGAAGCGCCAAGTGTTGATCTTTGTAACCTAGATTACCAACGCCTAACTCCACGACAGCTGACCTGTACAAGAATCCAAAAACTTGCGAACGATAGTTGATATTAACACCGATGAACGGTTTTCCAGCGGCGACGGATTGCTGGACAATGAAGGACATGCTGTAACTTGGGTCCTGGTTTGAGCCCGAACTATGGCCGCCACCGTGTATCTAAACACCCACAGGTAGATTCGCGTCCGGCCCAGTGCCGCTTGGGCGGACGATATTGAGGGCCAGGCAGTCCTTGGAGTAATTAACTCCAGGCAGTGGAGAGATGTCGAAGTTGTAGCATGCCGAGGAGAATTTGGTGGTATCGACACTTCCTTCCTATGTGGTGTTGAGAGAAACCGGGTTACGGAAGCGGAGATCTCCTACCGGAGGTTGGGGATAAGGTATCCCCAGAAAGAAGTCTTGATCATACTCTGAGTTGTAGAGACCAGTCTATGTTCCATTCTTGACTGTGGCTATCGGTGCTGCTCCTTGTCCGACATCCAGTGGGCTCGCACACGCCAGATTGTGGAGTGCGGTGCCGAGGAGCCTGAGTTTCAGAATAAACGACACCATCGTGGAAGTCGTCATTGATACTGGGGCTGGTATACCTATATCGATTAATTCAAATTGGTCTCGAGGAAGGGGAGAGGGAAGTTCTTACGCTCCTGTCGAGGTAGCACCGAGGGAGTCCACTGTGTATTACACACAAAGTAGTTGTTAGAATCCGACGCCGTGAGTTGATTGTCCGCCAGCTCGGGGGTCTTGCTTGTATGAGATTCCGCTCGCTTTCGCAATAGGGGGCTACTCAGTTCGAATGCATTTCGTCCACATCACATTACGCAAACGAAAGGGAAGCATGCCCCCTATCGTAATTTGGCTAGAGTGATAGTCCATTATTTTTGGGTTATGGGTCAAGTCAGATAAAGTGGCTTCTAGTGGAGCATGACGAAATATATCAAGCTGACTGTCGTCAAGTTAACCTATATCCCCTAACACTTACTAAAATAGCAATATAGTGTTTAACCGAGCTTTCTCTCGGCTGATATCAACGGAATATGTGGAGAGCATCGATGATTAGTCGCTTACATACTAATCAGTCTAATTAGGGCAATTTCAATGGTCTTAGCATCCACTATCAACAGTCTGAAATCCTATACCAAGTCAGCACCAAGACAGGTGACTACAACAATATGCTAATACATGACATTATGAAAAGACCAAAGCCAATTCTGGGGCGTATGCAGGGGATCGGCACAGATTTTTACACCAATACATCGAAGAATTTCATGTCGGGTCCAAATTTTCCTTTTTCAGGAAGTACTACGGAGTACAGAGTACAGGTCTATATGAAGTCAGCGTGGACCAGACACAAGCCAATTATCAAGCTTCATGAAACTGGATGACACTGTGGGTTACCAAATACTCTATCACTGGCCCGTTTGATGCGGAGACAAGTTATCTCCACGTAATTCAGGAACAGATCTGCAACTGTTACATAATTTGCATAACTGATTTTGTGTGGATATTTATACATCCCAGTTCCTATATTGCACGTGATTATCAACGATCTTACCATCCTGATCCTCTTGTTAGCGTAGAAATTGTGCAGGAATTGTCAGTATTCCTACTGAACACGGGCAAGCCCTGACGGAGATATCGGGTCGATACCGCCGGGTCGATATAGCGAAGGAAGACGGAAAGAGGATAGAACGAAAGAAAGAAAGACAACACACACTGGCACGGTACTAGCTGGACACTGACTGGATACTGGCTACCGGATCATACTGTAGTGCGTAGTTGGTTGATTCTCGTAGACTATCTGCAGAACGGAAGGATGTACCGGACCTGACATAACATACTTCCGTAGGATCCCGGGACACACCACTACACTACCTGTCTTGCACTACGCACCTCTTTCTCTCCAGAAAGCTTAGCATCCCAGATGGTGAAATTATCACTGCTAGGGTAATGAAGAACAGAACCAAAAGGCAGTGGATAATTGGATGCACTGAGAAACAGTGCACTCACAGGAGAATAACTCTTCACCAGGTGTGCTTAATGGGGATTGGGGAAATTCCAGGTCCAGATGGAATAGGAGTGCCTTTTGATGATAGGACTGGGCATTGTTTGCCTCTAACTACAGAGCTTTTTAATGAGATGTTGGGTTGATTTGATAGATAGAATATGAATTTAGATTGCAGTGATATTTACGTTGCAGTGTAGCCCACCAACCACGGGAAAGTGGTTCGCCGCGAGTACTACTTATCCGACCGGCCATCCAATTAACTACCCATTGGTTCATAGTTATCCAAAGGTACGTATGTAACGCAGGTTCGAGAGTCAGCGTTATGTACATGAATAAGGAGCGCATGAGTGCATAAGTCCGCCATGCGGAGCCGTGGTCTAACAATAGAATCCGCATCCACTGCGGGTTTAGGTTATGCTATGCTGTATTATGCTGACTTTGCTATGCACTATTTAAGGCTCAGGGTCATAACTAGTTAGTTATCTCTAAAGTTAATTATTCACATAAGCACTCATGCATAATTTTTGTGAATTTGGTTGTCGGGCCGGACATACATAGGAAACTCTCCCCCCCAAATCCTTCATCATACTTTGTCCTTTGTTCTGGAAAGCTCTCAACAATGTTCCTCTATTCTTCCATGCTTCTAGGCACTGCCCTACTGCTCCAGCAAGGGCAGAGCCACCATCCCCATCCTATAGCTATCCCCGATGTACCCAAGGATAGCAGCCCGGTTTCCAGGGACTTACAGTCCTTTTCTATTGAATTTGCTTTTTTCCCTGATTTTGCCGGCAACATATCGCACCCAAATGAGTTTTCCAAGGCCTTGCTGGGCAACTTGGGGAAAGTCACCGGCATCTTTCCCAAAGTCCGAGTGGGAGGCACTACTCAGTATGCCTTAAATGATTCCTTTCTCAAATCAATGCTGATTGGCTATCACTCTAGGGATCATGCCACTTATTTCCCGCACCAGGAGGAAAACATCCACCTGATCTATGAGAACCCGTCGGATGACCAGCCAAAGCAGATTAATTATGGTCCCAGGTTTTTCGAATCGTATCATACTCTGGGCGATGTCAAATATATCCATGGATTGAACCTGAACCAGACTGATCCCACCCAACTTGAGACTGCAGCTACCCAAGCGTGCAAGTCGATTGGATCCAAGTTGCATCTCCTCGAGCTGGGCAATGAATTCAATGTAGCGCCAATAATGTACCGCCCTTCGAATTACTCGATTGGCGATTATGTTCGTGAATGGAATTCCAAGTCAGAAAGCGTTAGGAGAACGGTCCAGAAGGCTTGCGGTGACTTCCCGGGGCTCATGGCGCCCAGCTGCATTTTGCTTGATGGCATCGATATTGGCCCTCTCCTGGAGAAACTCCCAGTACAGGGTTCCTTGCCTGACTTTATTGATCCTACCAAAACCGCGGAGAGGATATTTAACCACGGGTACGATGAGAAGAACCTGACCAAGGAACTTTCGTTCCATCAGTAAGTCTTTTTGATCTTCAGTGATTGCTGTCTTACAGTACTGATCTTTCAAAGCTACATGGGTATGAATTTGCCCATGTTCCCGGTTTTCCCTAATGATCTCCAAAGTGAGCTGATTTTTCATCTCTGCCCCAACTGAACAGCGCTAATGAATAACAATAACAACAATAGAGACTATCATGAATCATACAAACATAGTTGAGGGCCTCAAGTCACACATCCAGCGTGCTCAGAAACTTGCATACCTTGGCCATCCATATATCCTTGGAGAGACCAACTCTATCGGCGTCCAAGGACGCGATGGAGAAACAAATGTATTTGGCGATGCATTTGGGTGGTAGACTTCTCCCTCTGGGCTGCAGAACATGTATACATATCCCATATCTACCCCTGCTAAGAATCAAACTTGGCTAACACACAAAACCCACCCTCAGAACATCAAGCGTCTCCACTTCCACCAAGGCCTAGATTACCGCTACGGCTCATGGCAGCCTATCCAAAGCAAGAAACAAGCCCCGACTACCAGAGCCCCGTATTACGGCCACATCATGGTTGCGTCTGCTATCGGTTCTTCAGGCAACACTCGAGTGGTGAATATCCCCCTGCGCAGGGATACCGAGTCAGCATACGCAATCTACGAAGGGGACAAACTGACGAAGCTTGCTGTCCTTAACCTCCGAGTTTTTAATCATACAACAGACAGCACTCGTCCGAGCAGGAGATACAGCTTCCAAGTGCCAGAACAATTTACTCATGCCAAGGTTGAACGACTCACTGCCCCAGGGAGCGATATGTTGGATAATATCACTTTTGGGGGCGTTTCATATGACCATGATCTGAAGCAAGGAAAGCCAGTCGTTATTGATCCAAAGGAAGAGACGACTGCAATCCAGAATGGGATACTCGGTATCACTCTGCCGGACTCCTCTGCTGTCCTCTTGACATTGAAATAAGGGTATTTGAGACCAGGAACTGGGTCACTTATCAAATATGTATATTATACAGTATTTTCTGTGAAACAGTCCAACGTGATCATAATTTGTATTCAATATCTCAAATTCAACAACTCAGTATACTTAAAAGTGGAAAATGGTTTCAGCTGATGGGACTGATGCTGAAGACATCTCTGACTTGTACGGTTGTGACGATCAACAACTGCCAATGCTGGCAAACGCTGCCAACGGAGCAATATGAGCAAACAACGAGCCCTAGTCCTTCTACGCGCCGGCCGGTTAGTAGTTGGGTGGGTGACCACCAGCGAATCCCAGCTGTTGTATGTTTTTGTTTTTGTGAGTGAGAGAGCTCTTGTCTTTCAAGGTTCGACAGGTAACCAGGTTCATCTATCTTTAGAGGCTTCATGGAAGAGGACCTTCCGTACCACAGCTTATTTCACAGTAAAAACCGCAAGACTTCGCTGGCCAGATTCGTAGGATCCTCCTCGGGGATAAAATGACCGCAACTCAACCCTCTACCTTGGACATTCGCACAGTATTTCTGCCAAACTTGTAAAGGACCTTCTCTCATGCCCTCCATGGCTCCTGCGAAAATGCCCCCCTCGCCCCAAACAGCTAACACAGGCACCTGAATTTTCTTGCCTTGCTCCAATTCCTCTTCGTCATAGACCCTGTCAAAAAAAGCCCCGGCCCTGTAGTCCTCACAGGTGGTATGGATCTTTTTCTCATTGCAATAAGCCTCCCTATATCTATCCATCACAGCCGAATCGAAACTTTCCAAAGTCCCAGTCGCAGTCCACGACGACAAACTATGTTCCAAGAACACCTTACCACCTTCACCCGCCCCGATCATTTTCTCAGGGAACGGCTCCGGCTGCGCAAGAAACAGCCAATGATAGCCGTTCAACCCAGCCTTCACATTCCCAAACCCCTGAAACATCGACCCGGTCGGGACAATATCGACGACCACAATTTTATCAAGCCGTTCGGGCATATCAAATGCAAGGCGATACGCCACCCGAGCGCCACGATCATGGCCGACAATACTGAACTTCTGGTCGCTGAACCCTAGTTGCTCCATGACTGAAACGCAATCCTGTCCCATTAGTCGTTTGGAATAGCCGGAGCCGTTGGTGCTATGCGGGGAGGAGGAGGCGCCATAGCCGCGGAGATCGAGGAGGATTAGGGTGAAATGTGGCGCGAGAAGGGGTGCTATCTTATGGAACTCGGCGTGGGTTTGGGGGAAACCGTGCAATAGCAGTAAAGGGGGTTTTGATTCTTTGGGTTGGCTGACTCGCACGAAGATACGGGCACCCAGAGACGTGGTTATGGATTGTGAGGAAAATCCGGGGAAGAGATCAGAAGACATTGTGCGGGAGTATTTTGTGATGGAGATGATTGAGATCTAATTAGAGATAGGTTTCAAGTATCAACAGTAATTTAAAGAAAGCCAGAATGCACATGACATAGTTGGCTTGCTATCAGCCGAGGATGCATTCTGCCGATAATCGAACTAACTAGTAGATCGTTATCCGAATACGGAAATCCTAGCTATGATTGTTCTCGCCAGCAATATTATTGAGTATCTCTCGACTTGCCATTGTCGCGAAGTCCAAAGTGAGTGTTGTTTTTATTATTATTATTATTATTATTATTCATACACGCATCTGTCAGCCCTATAGGCCGAGTGGCGGCAGGTCCTGCGGGGCAGCCGGGTAAGCCGCCGTAATGGTAGTCGCTATGTACATCGTCGCCTTTATACACATATCCTGATATCTCATTCCGCATGTTGTATATCCCGTGCTGCTGGTTTTCGTGCCGCTGTTCCCATGGCCACAAGGATCCATGGGCTTGTTGGATACTATCTCATTTCCTTCCCTACTTCTGCAAGCGTGTAACCTTGGCTGCATTATGCTGCCAGTTTCCCCAAGTCT